AATTGGACATAATGAGGTCAAATTAATGACGTTACTCAGATCCTGTATGCGCGTCTCGGAGACGCAGCACACATCGATGGCGCGAGATTTTAAGGTTCTAGCTAAGGAAGCCTGTTGCCCTATTTGGCATTATTTATTTATGTTAACACATAGATATTGGTACAAGGAGGTACCAAATACATATGCGCCACACAAATCTCATTTGATATGTGTGAGGGCTGTGATACTGCCCGGGTGCCCAAACCGAAACGGGTGGTTTTCTTAAGGGGGCCACACCCGGAGCCTTCGATCCGAAAGTCTGATCCACAAGGCAGTGGAACAACGTATGGAGACGCAGTCCCGTGGTAGCCGATGACCAACGATTGGTTCATACGCCATTTGTTCCTTCAGGATACTGGAGCCCATGTGCACCATTGGTTTGGAATCAGGGTTTTCCAACTCCCCTAGGACTCTCCATGTCCACCAACCCGGTTAAGGCGCCGGACAATCGCTTTTCGTCCTCTGAATTTCGTAAACATCACCCCCACCACGAGAAGGCAGTGAGTAGGACTTCCCTGGTAGAGGCTATATACGCGTGGCCATGCGAGAGCATTTCGAGGGGGAGCGGACTCTCCCCACCCTCGGCCGTACCAGGGTATTTGGGGGCTTAGTGTTCGGACGTTAACAGCTCCTGAGTGTGGTTTAGAGCGTGATTTCAGGAGGCCAGGAATAGCGTTCCGCGTACTCCAATCGTTTGCCCTAGCGATGAGAGGTGATTAAGGAACGAAAGAAGGGTTAGTCGTGGAGATAAACGAGTTATAAGGAGGTGTGGGAAGGATTTGATTTTGACCAAACTGGTCTCGTGTGCTGTTATGGGTATGAGGGCTGATATCACTTCCCGGCTGCCTACAACGTGGAAGGGTATTTCTTGAGGAACCTGAAAATGTTGGCCTTAACGACCTGGGAGCGTGACCGCAGAGCCCAAAAGGACAACCGTTTGAGGCCGGTCGCGCACGGCCTTTTTGTGGGAGGTTTTTAATGTTAGCTCCGTTCTTCAAAGGCCCTTACCACCGGAGACGGAAATCCGTGAGGTAAGGTGAGATGTGACATTTTTAGGGTCGACCTTTCCTAACCCCTTCCTTCCTTGTGAGAAGGCAGCATCGCTGCAGATGCTGGTTGTCCGAGGAAAACACCTTACTGCTGTCACACCCCTCTACAGTCGGCAGTACGACTTTACCCTCAGACCCTGAGTTGCTGCTTTTAGTCTTACCATTCTCCAATCGACCTGCCTGGCATGGTAGAACATACAGGAACGTATGTTCCAGTCAATATAGCTCGGTTGCGTCATCACGATAGGCAAGCCCGACCACCGCGTCAAGGTAGCAGCTATGTTAGAAGTGTATGATAGTGAAATTCAGTTGATTGGTTTTTTATCGAATAGGGCTGATAGACTAAATCGTAGGTGAGGCGGGGCTATTTTGTACATGAAAACTACCTTAACCATACGAGCAGTTGAAATTGTGGCACATGATTCACGGACACATGAACTGGTGCGTTGCAAGCTGATATGTAGATGGCAAGATATCGAATAAGTTGTAGTATATCACAGTCCAGAATGTGTAGAAGATGACTTCTTCCTAAGTAAACGTAATTCCTGGTGTAATAATAGTAAAAGCATTATAGTAGGTGACTTTAATTCACCGTATATAAACTGGGTAAACTTAGAAGTAGGGTCATCGACAACGTCATTTGATTGCAAACTGTTAGAAATCCCAATTGCACTAGCTTTATTACAGCACATTAGAGATCCCACCAATAATTTGTTAAACAGAGAGCATGGTTTTAGAAGATTGATCTTACAAAACAAACCTCCTTATGGCAAGGGATCAATGGAAAATCAGTGGATGCTGTCTACATAGACTTCAGCAAAGCATTTGATAAGGTGTAAACAAATAGACTGTTCTTGAAGTTGGAAAATCTTGGCATTGGTGCACCTCTCCTAAGATGTCTTAAGGATTTCCTCGAAGGTCGTGGACAGAAAGTAAGAGTGAATTCCAAATGCCCCAACTGGATACCAGTACTTACAGGAGTTCCGCAAGACTCTGTCCTAGGTCATCTACTTATTATAATGTATGTAGATGAACTCCCACGCATAGTTGAGTCCGTAATGTTACTATGCGCTGATGTAAATAACTGGCGAGAAATAAAGGGAGACGCAAATGCATGTGCACTTCAGGCAGACTTAAATATTGTGATTAGCTGGACTAAAGAGTGGTTAATGCCTTTCAACGCGGCAAAGTGTGTCTATATGCGCATTGGGGATACAAATGCAAATAGATACAATATAGGGGAAGTACCTGTACTCGTGGTCCGTTCTCAAGGATTTTGGGGTGACAGCGAGTCATGATCTTAAGACCACGGTTCACTGCTGGGAGATTGCAGCTAAGGGGTTTGGAACCCTATGGGCTTTAAAACGGACATCCACCAAGTCAGATACTACTATGTTTATTACAGTATACACAACCTTAGTGAGAATTATTTATTTATTTATTTGGACACATGAATATTGGTACAAGAGAGCGCCAATATAAATGCGCCACACAAAACAATGAAAATTCGAGAGGAATACAATACCATACTATACCATACCTACAGACACTGATTGCCAACTGATTAAGTGCGGATTGCATGCCTTGGGCATTATCGCACAGTAACACAATATCGTCCGCATACTCAAGGTCGAGAAGTCTTTCTCTATGCAACAGATCCACACCGCCACTACCTACATCCATCAGAGCTGTTTCCAGAATGTCATCGATGGCAAAGTTGAAGAGGAATGGTGAGATTGGGCAACCCTGACTAACCCCACTGCTCGAATGGAACAATGGAGAGAGGTGGTTGTATGCCCTCACTCTGCCTGAGGTGTTTTTATATAGGGCTTTTAGGATGTTAATAAACTTCTCAGGCACACCCTTCTTCAATAGACAATCCCAGAGAACAGTCCTGTCCAACGAATCGAAGGCAGCCCTGATGTCAAGAAACACTACGATTGTTGGCCTTTGATAAGTATGGCGATGTTCTAACATTTGGCGGAGGGTGAAGATATGATCAATACATCATTGTTTCTTTACTTATTCAGTGAAACGGGAACGAAATTGTATTTTGGTTCAAAGCACATTCCGGGGTGCGTGGTCTATCGCTGCGTGCTTCGGTATCTTGGTCATGTCAGATGAGTCGTGGTGCAAATTAGTGAGAATTAAGCTTGGAAACGGCGTTCAAGCCGTAAGCCCCTGCCTAAAAGGTGGTCTGGATGTCCTGAAAAAATACAGAGGGCAGCTACCCGTGCAATCCAAGAACTCCGGGGTTTGCCATACAAATAATGGCTTGAAAAGCTAAAGCTGTCTTATCGCAGATTAAGAAGTGACCTGATTTTGCTGTATGGAATACTAAAAAATGATTTTGGACCTAATGTATCCTCCCTTTTTCTTCTCACTAGACCTGGACGTCTCAGAGGACATAGCATGCGAGTAGAAAAGCCAAGAACGAACAAAATACCCGTGGCATAAAGCTTTTTATACAGTCATCAATGTTTGGAACCTGTTACCCGAAGTGGTATCCGCACCTTTAATTGACTCATTCAAGAGGAGACTAGACACTCACAGAACATCAAAAAAAGAATAACACGGGCCGTAGACCTGCCCTTACTATACAAATCTGAATCTGAACATTATCTTCAAAAGATTGCATACGCAAAGTTAATGTAAATTGGAAGACTGATAGAAAACAACCTGCCGTCACCAATCTGAAAGACAGACTACCGATAAATCTGGCTCGAAAATTAGTGTTCGTATAAAAAGAATTTACAACGACTACACGCTTTCATGGAACACTTCAATATGAATGAAAAACCAGTCAGTAGGCGGACTCAAATACTTATAAAGGCTTATGAAGTGCCCTCACAGTCCGTGAAAATACAAAGCCGACAAGGGAGATATCTGGTCGATATATACACGTCAATATCTGAAAACAATTAGGTTTTCAAAAGTCCATTGTCATTCACGACGATAAATATTCATACAGATCTCTCAGTCAGTCAGTCAGCTACAACGTAGGACCAGGCACATATATGCATCGGTCCAAGTTGCCATACCGCATCAGCACAACAAGATGAACACCGGATTCATAAAAGTAGTTAACTCAGAGGTGGTAATATATAAAAGAAAGATTGCAATAAGGATATAGTACAGGAAGAAAGAATTAGTTAGTAGAAAGAAAGATATACAGTGATTTTAATCTCTTAGTTTAAGGGAAGACAGAGAGTGTATACAACTACGCCATTGTGATCGATTCTGAGCCATGTCACCAAGAGTCTCCAACCATTGGTTACGATAGTCACGCGGATCCCAACCAAGTAGTCTGCATCTACCAACATGGCTCAGACTAGAAGTCAGTGTCTTCAAGCACTGATGCCACGTTTTGGTTTGGCCGCCCCTAACTTTCTTCCAACCATCTCCAACACCGGTTAGCCTTGCACGTCGTGGTAATCGGTGTCCAGGCATACGTAACACGTGGCCCAACCATCTCAGTCGATGAAGATTCACAACCTCATCAACTGATTTACCATCATTTCCTAATACCCTGCGTCTAACCTCACTATTACTCACCCGGTGATCCCAGCAGATGCCAGCAATATTTCTAAGGCATCTGTGGTCAAATGCCAGTAGCTTACGAGTGTCTTCTACTCTTAATGGCCATGTTTCGCTGCCGTAAATTAAAACAGAACGGACTGCATACTGATCACTACTAACAGAATATTAATGGCTTTTGTAAATCATCAACGCTACCAACTTCCAAACTTTTTTGACGTATCAAGATGTCGTAAAGAGCATAAGTAAGGAAAGAAACAACGAGAACTTAGTAAACTATATAGGTACACTGGTTTCTTCAAATTTCACACAGTAGGCTTGAAAGGCCGTTAGGTTTTTTTATGAAAATATGGTGCAGTTTGGGATTATTCTTACCTTCATATTGTTATATGACGTTTAAAAATACTATACGCCATAGGAGCGATAGCAATGAAAGGACATAAGCATTTACGTCCCAAACACTAACACCTACTCTGAACAGAGCGGGGTAGCGCATCCAGCCCAGTTTAACAACACTAATGACATTTGGACAACCCGTAAAAATATTCTTGGCAAAAGTAATAAAACCTCAAACATCCGGATTCTAACAAGTAAGAACCACGGTCACTGAACAGTGATGGCTCGATTAGATTTAGATTCGGAAGAACTACATTGCAGCTCAACTTCGTAAGCTGGAGTGATATATATGGGAGAAGACAAAGATAGGGAATTTCATACTAGCTGTTAATCGACAACAAATCAAGCGCTTCTGAAAAATTTGAGTTTCTCTATTCCGTAGTTGGGATTCCTTATCTTTAATTTTGAGTTGTGTCGAATAATTGGCTGACGGATCACTTCATCAGTCTCATAATCATGATAAAGTATTTCATTTTCTAGAGTTTCTCTAACATTTCACATGTGGTTATGCTTTTATTCATTGTTTTTTATACAGTTCCGTTTCACGTGAAATATATATTCATTCTGTCATAGTTATTTACTAACTGAATTAGCTCCTTTTGGTTAGTTTCCAGACCAGAATCCTTTCAAGTAGAATAGTGATATATTTAGATTTAGGTTTTTATCTACCATCTTGTATTTTACCCGTGTAATCCTGTCAATTTTGTCTGACTTACATTATAGTCATACTTATAGTCCTTAGGTTTAATGGTCTACAATGAAGAAGGCTTTAACTAAACAATCTTTAGTGATTATTAACAGTGCATCATCGATACATGTGTACATGGAAAAAAGAAAAAGCTAAATAGTCATTCCTAAGTGAAAATGATACCCTATATTTGATCTTTTGGAAAACATAAAATTCTCACTTATACAATTCAGGTATATAGAATAGTGGCTTCTGAGACTTGAACACCAAAGGATAATAAAACTGCCGTTTAGGACTTTAACTCCTTTGTATTAGTTATAGAGAGAGAATTTGAACTGTAGTATTAAGTCTTATTGCAAGATGTTTACATTCCGAAAGTAATCTTCATACTTAAGATGATCACTCAGGGTTCACTGAAACTTTTCAAGGTAAAAAATAAAATAAGCTCCAATAGATGGATTATTGTAGACAACTGGATCCTTAAATATAATTCTGTCCGTATCGAACATTGACACCAGTCTTGTCGGTTTTCTGAAACACTACAAGCTGTAGGCGCTCGACAAAGCATCACTATAAGACCGTGGTATTATTCGACGTAAAATGCTTTACGTAATATGGTTACTACGTTCAGAAGTCTCACATTCCTTCGCAGCACTTGAAAGTAGTCGACTAAGTAGAAGAGTCAGTTGATCATACGCTGTTAGGTTACGTTCATCTAAACACGATTTCCCAACCATTTATCATTTTACTTGACATAGGAATTAAGATAATTTTTTCCCTCATATTATGAAAGACTTACACATATCCTTGAATAGGGTCCACTACTTCGATTTTTAATCCAGCGTGTGTGAAAGTGAACCAAGTTTTCGGATGAATAAATTATTTTCTGACTCAATAATTCAACTGATTATGAACTTTTTCCGTATAGGCACTATTCACCGACAACCAGTCACTGGTCGATCTGCTACAGAATTACCTCAAGCGTCACCTAAGATGTATTATGCCAAGTCTAAGGGATTAAAAATGTAGTTGATCGAAAACATACCCTTATTTGTACAATATCCATACTTTTTCCTTATTATCCCACGGTAAATATGGGATTATTGACTACAGCTAACATATGAGTGTAAAATAGACCCGTCTTGTTATCATTAATCAAAGAAAACTTGACATAAACAAGCGGAGCTCGACAGTTCCAGTATGTCAAAACCGTTGACATCGATTTTAGCTCTACTTTTATGCTCACTTTAGTTTTTGTTGTAACGCGAAGTGTGACTGCAGGTTTAAATACGCAGCGTTATATCGATCGCTTCTGTGGCAGTGAACACGTGACACGTAATACACGTAAGGACGATCTAGTGCCCTGATTGGCCCTGCTTCGCTGTCTAGCCCCAGCCAGTTGAGTCAAGAACACGAGTCACAGCCTCTGGGTTATGAATCATTATATTTCAAACATACACTATTTATATACCAAGCAAACAAACCACATCGTACCACAAAGTAGAAAATAACATTGTACAATATTGGCCAACAGGAAAATAACACGTTAAATAAATATCGACCAATGGAAAATGTACATTTAAGGTCCAAGGACACCATTGGACTTAACATCATAATTATTGGTCTATTTTTCCGACTACCTAACACCTCCCCTTTTTCGAAAGATCCGGAGTTCATATCTGCGTTTTAAAATTTTCTGGGTTCATCCTCCCCCACGAAATAATGTTGGGTCCCCATCTCTCCAAGTTAAAATTAATCTGACTTTATTTAACACATAATTGTCAGATTTAACAGAGAAGTCACTGAAAGTGATTAAATAGTGGGGATCAATGTCGCTTGATATGAGGTCAGGAACGTTTGATTCTTCTGGAACATTATCATGGGATTTGTTGAAAATCTCATTTGTAAACAGTTGACCACTGAGACAATCAACATCTATCAAAATTGCATTAGATTTCTGATCATCATTTGATGCATCTAACACATTTTCTGGTACAAGAGGATCTAGATAATAAGATTCATCAGAATCTCCTGTTGTTGACTGATGAGGACCGTTTGTAGCAGCTAGACTCAGTATACTGCATGATTTGTTTCCTGTTTCTTTGTGAGAGGGCACTGTAATTAATTTATGAGCATTTAATGAGAGATCTTCCTGTGAGCTGGGTACATCACTGTCTGTACACGTTTCAGGAATAGTGGGATTTGAACCCACAACAGGGCATGATTCTGAACTGGACATTCCCGGATTGCTAGACGGGTTATGAGCGACTGCCTCATTTGCATTACTGATCATAAGGGATTCATAGAGGCTTTTGTTTTCATCTTCATATGTCCTGCAGTCATTCTCGAGTTCAGAATGTAAGTGAGAAATGAATTCATCAACTTCTTTCACATCTCCGAAACATGGGAGATCTAGCAGTCGCGTGCGTAAATAGTCCAAAACATTCAACTGGCTTTTTCTGAAACGCTGCTGCAAGTGATCGGGTAGGAGAGTCATTTTCTGAGTCAGCAGGGTAATGAGAAATACTGTAATCAACTAACAACCAATGACTCCCAAGGACGCCAATGACAAATCTGGATACTGATTGGTCAAAATAATTATGCTGAATCTCGTCCAATTATAGGGTTCAAAATTTTCTCTACCCCGTCGCCAATTGTTGTGACGGGTGAGGACTGCAGGGTTTGGATACGCAGCGTTATATCGATCGCTTCTGTGGCAGTGAACACGTGACACGTAATACACGTAAGGACGATCTAGTGCCCTGATTGGCCCTGCTTCGCTGTCTAGCCCCAGCCAGTTGAGTCAAGAACACGAGTCACAGCCTCTGGGTTATGAATCATTATATTTCAAACATACACTATTTATATACCAAGCAAACAAACCACATCGTACCACAAAGTAGAAAATAACATTGTACAATATTGGCCAACAGGAAAATAACACGTTAAATAAATATCGACCAATGGAAAATGTACATTTAAGGTCCAAGGACACCATTGGACTTAACATCATAATTATTGGTCTATTTTTCCGACTACCTAGCAGTTTTACTCTGGTTGACAAAACATTTTATGCTCTTCAAATTATACTTAGAAAGTTGTACTATCACATTATGCAAAGCTAGAGATCACGCGACCTGGATGCTTTTGATAAATTGTGACGACTGAATTTTATACAAAATTATTGCTATACTGACTAATCTGATGAACAAAAGTAGTTAAATTTGGTATTTTAACTTGTAATTGTCAGGAATGTCGAACTCTAGGTGCCACGAATAGATTTGTATTTAAAATGCGAGACAACAGAAAACATACTTGTGGCAATTGAATTTTGTAGCTCAAGCCATGCGCGCAACAGTTCCTAAAGTAGTTTTGAATACAAACTGGAAATATTCCTGATTCGAAGAATATAGTATGTGGTATTGTAATCTAAGTTTTCGATCATAACAGACATACCGCACTTAGTTGTGGCATTCATTCACGTTGCCATTAATTACCTACTTTTGGGTCATTTTCATTCACCAACAACCTGATATTCACATTCATAGTTTTCTTCGCATACGGAAGTTGAAAGCTCTTTATTTTGAGGCTGGTTTTAAGGACTCATTATCAGTGTTACTGGCAGTAACCTCTTCAGGCTTATATTAGAAAGATGAACAGTTTTTGGTGAAAGTTATACCGGACTTCAGGAACTTATCTTCAAGCCAAACAATACACAGACAATCCTTGAAAAAGTAGAAAATCCTTCTTTGCTCAAACATGTTACTCGTTATGCTTACTTTTTAGTTGCACTACCAAATAACATAATTCCATATAGCGCATATAAGGAGTAGTTGTTCATTTACAGACATCATAAGTAAAAAAAAATGTATTCGGAATTTGACAATACCATAATGAGTAACAACTTTTGTAATCGAAATGTGCCAACTCAATCAAATCTAAAATCAGAAGCAAGGAGGTTTGAAGATATATTTGATAGGCCATTAATATATCGAAAAGTGATCAATCTGGGCTGGCTAGCGGTTATAGGAGAAATTGAGCACAGGGTAACAACTGGTGATCTGGTGCAGATGCGCGAACATGCACCTTCAGATTGGTGACAACACTGAGACTAATGCGGTCAGCATCAAAAGCCGAGGACCAACAGAGCTGTTGATTTTGCGGATTTATTTCCCGCTACACATCTTAAATTGATCTGTGATGAAAGATGGCTTTTCCAATTTTCGAACAACAAGAAGCGTATTACGCTCATATGATTTTGAGATGGGGGAGAAGATTTGTAGCTCAGATGGATGATTTTGGTGGAGTTTTGTTCTCTGAGCTGGATGGTTTGGTCGTGGAACTTTCATCGTTTTTCTGAACGACATCATCAGCACAAACTTCAAACAGAAGTGAAGCGTTCGAATTTCTCCATATGTGTTTCACAGCTTGTT